AAAACAAAAAAAACAAAAAAAACAGCCAGTTGTGGGTGCATGCCTGTAGTCTCAGCTACCCAGGAGGCTGACGTGGGAGGATTGCTTGAGCCCAGGAGATAGAGGCTGCAGTGAGCCATAATCATGGTACTACACTCCAGCCTGGGTGACAGAGGTGACTCAAAATAATTTTTTTTTAATTATGAAATGCAAAATTCCTACAAAAATGTATATAAAACATTTATGTACAGCTTGATAAATTGTTGTAAGGCTAACAGCCATGTAACTTGGACTCGGTAAGAAACAGAATATTGCCTATAGACAAAAAGTAGTCCTAAAATATAGTAAAACTGTTAAGAACATTCGTTCAGGAATCAGATGACCTGTTTTTGAATCCTGACTCTACAACTTAGTAGACAACTTGAGTAAATCATCAATACTTTCTGAGCTTTAGTTTTCCTATGTGTAAAATGGGGAAAATAATAGTACATCATAAGGTTGTTGTAAAGACCAAAAAAATAAAAAATAAAAATATTCAGCCAGGGCTGGGCGTGGTGGCTCACGCCTGTAATCCCAGCACTTTGGGAAGCTGAGGTGAGTGGATCACTTGAGGTGAGGAGTTGGAGACCAGCCTGACCAACATGGAGAAACCCCAACTCTACTAAGCATACAAAATTAGCTGGGTGTGGTGGTGGGCACCTGTAATCCCAGCTACTTGGGAGGCTGAGGCAGGAGAATCGCTTGAACCTGGGAGGCAGAGGTTGCAGTGAGCTAAGATCGCGCCATTGCACTCCAGCCTGGGCAACAGAGGGAGACTCTATCTCAAAAAACTCCCCAAAAATAGAAAAAAATAAAAAAACCCATAAAACTGCCAGGCATGGTGGCTCATCCCTGTAATCCCAGTGCTTTGAGAGGCCAAGGCATGGGTATCACCTGAGGTCAGGAGTTCGAGACCAGCCTGACCAACAAGGTGAAACCCCCGTCTCTACTAAAAATACAAAAATTAGCCAGTCGTGGTGGCAGGTGCCTGTAGTCGCAGCTATTCGGGAGGCCGAGGTAGGAGAATCATTTGAGCCTGGGAGGCGGAGGTTACAGTGAGCCGATCACACCACTGCACTCCAGCCTGGGCTACAGATGAGACTCCGTTTCAAAACAAACAAACAGAAAACCAAAAAAACACTTAGCATAGTACTTATAACATGTTTTTCCCTGAGTAAATGGTGCTATTGTTATTCTTCCACCTGTTGCAGTTCCTGCTCAGGTGCTGAGTCTCTTTGTTTAAATGTGGATTCCTCCCAGGAGGATCTTGCTTAACACATAGGAATTGAGGAGATAAAGGTTTACTCATCTAGTGTAATCATCCTTTTAGAAATTGTCTTCCTAGTGGCTGCCCCATAAATTCTTCCATACACCTGTCCAAGGAAACTCTCCTGTGTGGACCAGGAGCCTCCCTCTTCATAATTGGGCAGAGAAACCAGAGGCCTTTCAGGCCAGGCCCTCAGCAACTCCAAACTGAGTTGCCTTGGACACATACCAGTGCTTGAATTCATTTACTAAGTAGGCAAGGCAGAGTGGAAACCGTGGAACTATTTTAATCTCCCGTCTTTTCCCCTCTAAACCCTAGTACTAGAATGTAAGCCTTGAAATGCTACTAAGGAATGTGCAGGTTTCACAATGGCAGGAGGCCATCTGAGAGGAGGACAAGATTCCACAGGTACGTTGGATTTGGGAAACAGGGCTATAGTCATTCATTCATTCATCCAACACAAAGTTATAGAATTCCTATTTCAGGCAGATAGGATACAGCAATGGCTTGTTAAATTTATTGAGACTTGTTTCATGGCTCAGCATATAGACTGTCTTGGTGAATGTTCCACATTCCCACCAACAGACTTATAAAGATAGTATTGTTTATTATCATCTCAAATTTACGGTGGAAAAAAATGAGGCTTATGTAGTTTAATTTCCTTTAGTCCTACCCAGCTACCAGGTAGCAACACTGGAATTTCAAATGAAATTTCTGACACCATAATCTGAGCTCTTAAGTTTCTCTTTTACACATAAAAAAGGAGAAAAAAAATTGTTTTTTCATCTTATCATCCATTTGACTGCAGGTAAAGTCAACAAGCTTCTAATCATGGGGTTCTTCTGAGAATAATATTTACATTGCTCTGAGTCATGGGGATTTTCATTAAGTAATATCCAATAGTGGATACTACTCAATACTAATGTGAGTTGCCAAGAAGGAATATTTGGTAACAATATAGTAGTTAAATTTTGCTATAATTTATGATTATGTAAATTTTAGATTAAATTGAGCATGGCATCATTTAACATCCAACAAATTTTGTTTTGGTATTGAAGAATGATGTGTTTAAGTTTTAAGGCTGGATTTTTCTTTCTAGACACTTTCAACTACCAAATATATACAATATTGGGCAATAGTTAACTGTTCTTTTGATGCTGTGTTGTTTAGAAAATTAATCTCAAGCGAATAAAATAGAATTCATATATTTCAACTTAATGAATCCTATTATTCCATATGGATGAACTCAGAACTAACTAGAAAGTAAGTTTCACAGAGATTTTTGAGTTTTGTTCACTCATGTGTACAGAGCACTCAGAAAATAGTTGAAGGAATGAATTGGGAAAGCAAATAAAATATGAAAGCTAACCTTCTACCCAACACAACATGTCTTTGAGTTTAGGTTTAGGGTGGGAATAAGCAAAATAACATGATATGCATAAATTATTATCTTAAAATGATAAAAAGTTTAATTTAAAAACCTAATTTACCAAGAGAACTGAAAACATACATCCACAAAAAAACTTGTACACAAATATTCATAGTAACATTATTCATAGCATCCCCAAAGGAAAAACAACCCAAATGTTCATCAACAGATGAATGATTAAACAAAATGTGATACATCGATACAACGGAATATTATTCAGTTATAAAAAGGAACAAAGTACTGATACACACTACAACATGGATGAACCTTTAAAACATTATGCTAAGTGAAAGAAGACAGACACAAAGGGCACATATTGTATTATCCATTCATATAAAATGTCCAGAACAGGCAAATTAATAGAGACAGAAAGTACATTAGTGGTTGCCGAGGGATGAGGGGAGAGGGGAAATGGAGAGTGACTATTAATGGGCATGGGGTTTCTTTTGGGGGTGATTAAAATGGAATTAGATGGTGGTGATGGTTGTACAATCTGGTGAGTATACTAAAACCCACTGAATTGTACGTGCCCTTTAAAAGGGTGAATTTTATGGTATGTGAACTCTTTTATAAAGTGGAAAAAAACTCCTAAGATCTCCTCTTCAGAACATATCAAAATACATTATAAAATAATGGACATGTGTTTACAAATCTGAGAGTATTAGGAAATGTTCCCTTGTTTAATTATAAACCAAGTGGAATGTTTGGAGATTTCAGTAATCTGACAGGGAACATTAAGAGGATTAACCTGACTTCCCCAGTGTTAACAATACCAATTTAAACTGCATCATTCAAAAACTACATAGTCATATTAAAGCATTTGTGGCAATGACTTCCACGAAAAAAATACCAATTAAATTAATTACTCATTAAAGCTGTCATCATCTGAAATACCTCATATTTACATGGTGCTTTTACTTCCTTAAGTATGAATTGTGCCTTAAGATCTAATGTATGGGAGAGTCACATCTCCAACCATTTAATTAAAGGTAGAGAAGTGGGTGGGATTGGATAGAAATTTATTAGCAATGCTGACATTCCAGATTGGAACGCAAAGACAAGCAGGATTTAAGAAACCTAACAGTTCGCTTTCAATGCAGGTAGTTAAATGCCAAGAACTATAATTACCTCATCCTGGAGTACAATTTAAAAATATGTTCAAAAACAACAAACATACATAAAAACATACACAGTGTTAAGTGCAGACTATGAAATTTCCTTTGGAACCATAATCCAGATCAAGAAATAGAATACAGCACCCAGGACTAAGGTGCTTTTTCGTTTTCTTAAAAAAATAAACAAATAAACCAGGTTTATTTTGCTTTTTAAGTAGGGTTCTTAAAGCACTACAGGTTGGTAAACAAAGTATAAGGTGCTTTTTCTTAGGCCAAAGAGCCATAATAGTTTAAATCTCCCCGTCCCCAAGAGCGGACCAGTTACATTTCGGAACGGGTGGGCAGGGGAGGACCCTGAGGTGGTGATGTGTAAACTGTGTATTATGCACTTTAGCTTGCTGGACGGCAACTAACAGCTACAGTAGTTCACCCTCATTTTATCCCCACTAAGTAATTGTCTTATTTCTGAATCTAGAGATTCAGAAATAGCGCCAATATTTACACACGAGTTTTGAAATTTTCCCAGGAGTCTTTCGTGGGAGCAACACATCTAGATGCCTTTTTCCAGCAACAGTTCAATCAAATTTTGGAAGCAGAAAAGTGTCCCGAGAGGACGTGCCTTTCCTATCAAAGTGCTTAGTGCCTAGACCCTTTCCGGAGGAAACAGTCCCCTCCGGACCTCGTTCGACGTCTCTCCGTCAGACACCCAAGGTTCCATGTGAAGCAGGCGGAGCACCAAACGCACCCCTAGGTGGTCCAGGACCCCCATGCGTGCTGCCCCCTGGGAGCCCGCGCTGCTCCTCTGCGCTCCGCCCCTCCGGCCGGAACATCGCGCGGTTCCTTTAACAGCGCGCTGGCAGGGTGTGGGAAGCAGGGCTGCGTCCTCCCGCCCCCTCCCATCCGAGTTTCAGGTGAATGGGTCACCGAGGGAGGAGGCCAACACACCACACCTACACTCCCGCGCCCACCTCTCCCTCCCTGCTTCCTCCGGCGGAGGCGGCAAGAACCGAGAGCTAGGGTCAGAGCGCCGAGAAGCCCGTCCGGGACGCAGCAGGTGGGTCTCTCGGGGCTGGCCCGCAGGCTTCCCGCACCCCCCTACACGTTGGTGCGCATGCCCGGGGGCAGGGCCGGTTGTAGGGAGAAGGGGGAGGAGGGGAAAGAGAGAGAGGAGGGGGAGGAGACGTCCCCAGCCCAGTCCCTGGCTGCGCGCTGGCGGTCGGCGCGGCGTCAGGTGCGCCCGCCAGGTGAGCGCCCTCACTGGCTCGGTTGGTCCCCGGAGGGTCGGGCCCAGGTGCGGCCAGTGGGTGAGTGTTGGGCGTGGCGTCAGGGGCGCACGGGAGCCCCCAGGGTCCCCGTGGGGGGACCGCGGCGCCTCTGTTAGGGGAGGTGCGGGGGGGAGGACGCTCCGCGCTGGTTTCGGTGGCAGTTTCGTCCCCGGGCTGGGACTCGTGGGAACCGGAGAGGCGCGGGTCTGCGGAGAGAGCAGCACCGGCCAACTTGGGAGGCTGCCTCCCCGGGCAAGGGGCGGCTTGGAGCCGCCGATCAAGCTTTATTCCGCGGAGACGCTTAAAGCTAGCAGTGCCTCAGCGGCGCGGGCAACTTTTCACTTTTATGAGGCAGGACATTCCTGAACAGCGACGATCCTGCATCAGCTCTGGGGCTGCAGTTTTGGGGGGCGGCCCTCATGGAGAGGGGTCCTGCGCCCAGCTCGTTGGGGGTCCTAAGCTTGAGGCTGCAGCGAGAGACTGCTTGCTGGTCCGAGCCGCTTAGATCCCGGGGGGAATTTCATCCCTTCAGCTCCCACCCCACCCCACTCCTTTGGGTATCCCGGGGAGACGGGGGCTGGATTCAGTCTGTGAAATATTCCGGGAGTCACGGTGTGGGCCACACTGGCTACCTCGAATCCACTTGTTGGGAGTTGTGTGAACCCGCGCCGATTTAAGCTGGGGTTCACGGAGTTAATTTCGAGGGAAGCTGCTCACGCTTGGGATTCTCACCCGTGACCAAAAGGGCTGCCGCCAGGGGGGCGGAACTGCCTCCGGGCGGTGCCTGCCCAGCGAACGCAGGCGCGCGCTGCCCGGGAGCGCCTCGGGGCGCACGGACGCCGGGATCCGCGCCCAGCCGGGCCACGGAGTTTGGGGACCTCCGGGACTGGGCCGGCCATCGCGCCAGCTATGTTGCCTGCATGGAAGGAAGCTTGCGGGGAGCGGGGGTCAAGGGCCAAGATGGCCTCTGCGCCTAGGGGTTGGGAGCTGCGCCGAGGTCTTCGTGCTCCTCGGGAAGCCACCGGGCCCGAGGGGAAAACCGCGGCATCCTCAGGCCGGACCCGGGGCTCGCGGGCTACACTGCCCGCTTGGGGAATTATCCCGGGCGAGGAGGCTGCAGCTTTCTAGGCCAGTTAGTGTGTGGCCCTTAGGCAACAGGTGTATTATTGGAATACCTGGAAAAGAGAAACGCTTCCCATGAAGGCACTTATGGTGATTTAGAAAACTAGGCATTCCCAAGTGTAACAATAATTCTTTTGCACTGTACGTATGAGTCTTTCTTTTGTTTTTATTATTATTATTATTTGCTTTTTTGAGACGGAGTCCGACTGTGTCTCCCAGGCTGGAGTGCAGTGGCGTGATCTGGGCTCACTGCAACCTCTGCCTCCCGGGTTCAAGTGATTCTCCTGCTCAGCCTCCCGAGTAGCTGGGATTGCAGGCACCCACTAGTATGCACGGCTAATTTTTGTATTTTTAGTAGAGACGGAGTTTTGCCATGTTGGTCAGGCTGATCTCGAACTGCTGACCTCAGGTGATCCACCCGCCTCGGCCTCCCAAAGTGCTGGGATTACAGGCAGGAGCCACCACGCCCAGCCTTTATGAATATTTTCTTAGTGGTGCTTTTTGAGTGTGTGGGGGCGGCACAGATATTTCCTCAAACAAAGCAACCCTTTTTTTTTTTTTGTCGTTTTGCAATTTATTTAGTTATTAGGGGCCTCCTTTGTTAGGTGATGGAGCGGAGGATAGGGAGGTCGTTAAGACATGATTCTCCACCTTTTGGCAGCTTCCAGGCCATTTCGGGAAATAATGGGCAGTGTCTCCTGCACGTGAGGCACTGTGCTAAAAGCATTCTGTATTTTCTCATTTAATTATCCCAACAACTCTAAAAGGCAGACCTTAGTAGAACTCCGTTTTAAAAGCGGGCATATGCTGTGGGGGAAACGTGTTGCGTGGGCTTGCCTGCAAACTGCTTCAGCTAATCTGGGAAGGAATATCAGAAGCAGCGGTCCTTGATATTCCAGAACCAGATTTGGGGGATTTTTCTGGACCTTTGTACCATTGACTAGTACCTGTAGCCTGATACAAGATTTCCCGCATTTTGCTTGATGTCATGGTAAAATTCTTTTTTCTTCTAAAGGTAATGTTGGAATTACTGCCTTTCCAAAATAATAGATTACTTTTAACCACATAAATGATCTGATGTAATATCTTTCACCTTCCCAGGAACGTCCCAGAAGGAAGTTTTCTTCAGTTGCATTTTAAGGCTTATTTGATTGGAATATCAGTGGATCTTTTTCATCAAATTACTATTTATAGAAATAAGAGAGTAAACAGACCATGTAGATTTCTGTTAGGCTTTTCGTTTTAACCCCTAGGCTTGCCGCTGTTCCGTAACCCAGTGATTCCAGTCTTGGCTGTAGTATGAATCACCTAGGGATCTTGTTAAAACACAGATTCTGATTGGGAGGTCAGGAGTGGGACCTGGGATTCTGCCTTTCTAACAGGCTCACAGGTGATTCTCAGACTGTTCTGTCCTCTTTTTCTCCCTTTCTCTTAGACTCTACTCAATTACATTTGACACACTGAAGTTGGAAATAAAGGAAAAAAAAATGCGTTTATTGGGTGTTGATTGGGTGTTGTGTGAAGAACTTCAAGGCATTCACTGCTGGATTGAAATCCCAACTCTAATAATTGACTTGGTTTTATTAATTGAGTACTCATTGACAATCACTTTGTGCCAGGGCTAGTTTCAGGGACCAGGGATATAAATGGTGGTCAAAATAGACATTCGATGCCTGGGATGCAGGCATTCCAGATGGGGTGGAGATAATACCTAAAATAATTTTAGGTATGAGGGCAGAGGAGAGTTTGCTCTGAAAAAACAAGTTTTGTGTGATGGAGTGAGGGACTGGGAGGGCATCTCCCAGAAGGTGGCATCTGAGCTGAGATGTGAACAGCAGGTGTCTGCTGTGTAAAAGATCTGGGCTTTTTAGACAGGAAATTGTAAGATCAATGTCCTTTTTGGATTGACACCATTATTGTAAACAGCAATTCTCAAAATATGTGGTGTGTTAAAAAATCACTTGGAAGGTTTATTAAAAATACAATTTCTGACACAGTCTATTACAAAATCTGCCTAACTTCAAATTTTTAGACAATTTAATGATGTGCCTATAATCTAAATCATTTAATATAAGGCACAACTTAAACTTTTTAAAGACAAATTGACAGTTACTGCATGTGCCCTAAAAGGAACAGACTTCTCTTAAATATGTTTATTTTTCACTTATTGAGAGTTTTCTTTAAAGAATAATTTGAGGGCAAAGCATTTTCAGTCTATTTTTTTCTACTATATATATATATATATATATTTTTTTTTTTTTTTTTTTTAAAAGATGGAGACGGAGTCTCTGTTGTCCAGCCTGATCTTGAAGTTCTGGGCTCAAACAATCCCTCTGCCTTGGCTTCCCAAAGTACTGGGATTACAAGTGTGAGCCACCTCACCCAACCTCAGCCTGTTTTTTTCATCTTAGCTTAGTTTTCCATTAAGATAGCTTTTGGTCAGTAAACATTGTCAAGGGGAGAATGCTTTTTATATATTATCATTAGCTCAAGATGCTGGTTTTCAGATTAACATATTTGACAAGGATCTGCTGCTTCCCTTTTGCCCCTGACTCTCATTTAGCTATCTGACTTCTGTCCTTGTCACTCTTGACATAAGTTCATGTAGTTAATAAGTGGTCTCTTCATTCCTCATTTTATTTTTTCCTTCACTCAACACATGTACAGATTGTTAATGTTGCTGTGCTGGGCATTGGTCCTCTTTCACCTTTGGCTGCCGGCCTTAAAGCACAGTCACAGATTCACTTTGAAATTTCAGAGACCTTAGAAGTCCTCCAGTCTGGTCTCCAAAAAAATATCAAATAACTTAAGCTTTGCATAAATTGCATGAGCTCAATTTGTTGTTCGTTATTTTTGGAGGGGGTGTGGGGTCAGGGTGAGGGAGAGGCTTCCTAACATGGTGGTTTTTGGATTTTTTTTTTTTTTTTTTTAACCATTTCTAGGATAACAAAGACAGCTCTTCAGATACCTCAGGGCTACTAAAGTGATTCTTCTAATGTTCAGTTCTCCAGGCCAAACATTTCCTGTTTTTCTAATTGTTTGTCTTAAGACATGGTTTTTCTAGATTTTTTTTTTTTGGGGGGGGCCAGAGTCTCACTCTGGCTCTCACTCCAGGCTGGAGTACAGCGGCACAATCTCAGCTTACTGCAACCTCTGCCTCCTGGGTTCAAGCGATTCTCCTGCCTCAGCCTCCCAAGTAGCTGGGATTATAAGCCCAACTAATTTTCGTATTTTTAGTAGAGATGAGGTTTCACCATGTTGGCCAAGATGGTCTCGATCTCCTGACCTTGTGATCCACCTGCCTTGGCCTCCCAAAGTGCTGGGATTACAGGCGTGAGCCACTGTGCCTGGCCAGCTTTTCTAGATCTTTACCGTTCTTAGTCACCCTCCTGGAGAGGCACGTAGTTTAGAATATGATGTACAAATCAGGTTTTGTTCGTTCTTTTTAATAGCGTATTATTCCTAGATATGAGCACTATTTCTGTGAATAAAGTTTGGGATCGCTTGTTAGCTTTTGTTGAAATTCTTACCAAAGAAATGCACCTTTAAAAATGAACGATTATTAAGTTAGTTCTCCTCTATACTGTACTATGGAATTGACTTTTAAAAAATTCAGTTTACTGCTGGGCGTGGTGGCTCATGCCTGTAATCCCAGCACTTTGGGAGGCCGAGGCGGGTGGATCACCTGAGGTCAGGAGTTTGAGACCAGCTTGGTTAACATGGTAAAACCCCATTTCTACTAAAAATACAAAACTTAGCCTGGCCTGGTGGCATGCGCTGGTAATCTCAGCTACTCAGGAGGCTGAGGTGGGAGAATCGCTTGAATCTGGGAGGTGGAGGTTGCATTGAGCCGAGATAACGCCATTGCATTCCAGGCTGGGCGACAGAGCTAGACTCTGTCTCAAAAGAAAAAGAAA